ATCATAAAAATCCTCAAATCTTCAAGATGCTCTAAACGCCAGAACGTCAAACCGACTAAATCCTAAAATCCTCAAAATTCTCAAATCTTCAAAATTCCCAAATCCTCAAAGTCCTCAAATCCGCAAAATCGTCAAATGTCCAAATTTTTTGAAATGCTGAAAATCTTCAAATACTTAAAATATAAAAATCCTCAAATTATCCAAACACTCAAACCCTCTAAGGATAATAAAAAGTGACTTTTCGTTAGATGCGATAACCATGTGTACGCCAAGTTTAAAATTTAATTCATTGCTCTAACAGTTGAGGTAACCTAGAACATTAATTTTGAGTAATAAATCCGAACCAAAAACAGTAAGATCGTTTACATAATCCTCAAATCCTCAGAACACAATAATCCTTACATCCTCAGAACACAATAATCCTCAAATTCTTAGAACAAAATAATCCTAAAATCTTCAGAACACCATTATACTTAAATCTTCAGACCATCATAATCCTCACGTCCTCAGAATACCATCATCCTCAAATCTCCAGAACATCATAATCTTCACGTCCTCAGAACACTATAATCCTCAAATCTTCAAACACCATAATCCTCAAATCCTCAGAACACCATTATCTTCATATCTTCAGAACATCATAATCCTCAAATCCTCAGAGCATCATAATCCTCGGAACACCATAATCCTCAAATCCACTGAACATCATTTATCCTCAAATCTTCAGGACACCATAACTCTCAAATCCTCAGGACACAATAATCCTCAAATGCTCAGAACATCATAATTCTCAAATCCTCAGAACATCATAATCCTCAAATCCTCAGAACACAATAATCCTCAAATCCTCAGTCTACCGTAATCCTGATACCCTAGAACACAAAAATCCTGAAATCCTCAAAACACAATAATCCTCAAATCCTCCAGACACCATAGTCCTCAAATGCTCAGAACACAATAATCCTCAAATCCATTGAACATCATTTATCCTCAAATCTTCAGGACACCATAACTCTCAAATCCTCAGGACACAATAATCCTCAATCCTCAAATGCTCAGAACATCATAATCCTCAAATCCACTGAACATCATTTATCCTCAAATCTTCAGGACACCATAACTCTCAAATCCTCAGGACACAATAATCCTCAAATCCTCAGAACATCATAATCCTCAAATCCTCAGAACACAATAATCCTCAAATCCTCAGTCTACCGTAATCCTCATACCCTAGAACACAAAAATCCTGAATTCTCAAAACACAATAATCCTCAAATCCTCCAGACACCATAGTCCTCAAATGCTCAGAACACAATAATCCTCAAACCCTCATAACACAATAATCCTCAAATCCTCAAAACACAATAGTCCTAAGAATACCATAATCCTCAGATACCAGAACACCATAATCTTCAAGTCCTCAGAATGCCAAAATCCTCAACTTCTCAAATCATCAAAAAATCATAAAAATCCTCAAATCTTCAAGATTCTCAAAACGCCAGAACGTCAAACGCGCAAAATCCTAAAATCCTCAAAATTCTCAAATACTCAAAGTCCTCAAATCCGCCAAAATCGTCAAATGACCAAATTTTCTGAAATGCTTAAAATCTTCAAATACTCAGAATATAAAAATCCTCAAATTATCGAAACACTCAAACCCTCTAAGGATAATAAAAAGTGACTTTCCGTTAGATGCGAATTTAATTCATTGCTCTAACAGGGGAGGTAACCTAGAACATTAATTTTGAATAATAAAGCCGAACCAAAAACAGTAAGATCGTTTACATAATCCGAACACAATAATCCTCAAATTCTTAGAACAAAATAATCCTCAAATCCTCAGAACATTATACTTAAATCTTCAGACCATCATAATCTTCACGTCCTCAGAATATCATCATCCTCAAATCTCCAGAACATCATAATCTTCACGTCCTCAAAACACTATAATCCTCAAATCTTCAAACACAATAATCGTCAAATCCTCAGAACACCATAATCCTCAAATCCTCAGATCATCACAATCCTCAGATCCTCAGAACACCATAATCCTCAAATCCTCAAGACACCATACTTCTCATATCCTCAGAACACAATTATCCTCAAATCCTCAGAACACAATAATCCTCAAAACCTCAGAACACCATAATTATCAAATCCTCAGAACACCATAATCCTCAAATCCTCAGAACACAATAATCCTCAAATCCTCAAACACAATAGTCCTCAGAACACCATAATCCTCAGGTTTCTCAAATGCTCAAAGATCTTTCTATGACAGAATCCTAAAAATCCTCAAATCCTCGAGATCCTCAAAACGCCAGAACTTCAAACCCACAAAATCCTAAAATCCTCAAAATTCTCAAATCTTCAAAATTCCCGAATCCTCAAAATCCTCAAATCCGCAAAACCTTCAAATCACCAAATTTTCTCAAATGCTTAAAATCTTCAAATACTCAAAACATAAAAATCCTCAAATTCTCCAAACATAAAAATCCTCAAATTCTCCAAACACAAACCCTCTAAGGATAATAAAAAGTGAGTTTCCGTTATCGGGATGCGATAATCATATGTACGCGAAGTTTAAAATTTTATTTATTGCTCTAACAGGTGAGATAACCTAGAACATTAATTTTGAGTAATAAATCCGAACCAAAAAGCAGTAAGATCGTTTACATAAAGGTATGTTTACACTTTACGATCCATCACATGACTAGTCGTTAAATTAGTCGAATTGAATAAAATATTATGTTTACATTATTATGCGAGGAGTCTTTCGATTTCAAAGCTTCGACCAGTTGCGCGATCGGAGCCGGAGTAACACAGACCGTATTTTCTTACAACCACCCTGTCGATTGAGCTGAAAATTTGAGGTTAGGTGTCGAGATATTCTCTTACGAACGAATTTTATGTAAAATCGCATAGCTTTAAGATTATTAACAAAGTTGTTAAACAAGTTTTATAAAAATATTATGAGACAAATCGTATACAAAAATCGAAAGTTTTGAACGAAATAACTTAGGACGACTTCGATTTATTGTCTTGCGACCAGTCACAAAATTTTTTCGAATGATGAATCGCATAGTAGTGTTAACCAAAACGGTCCCATGATTGGCCCCTGCCGCAGTCCAGCTAGAACTAAACGAAAAAAATTCGCCCCGCTACAAGACACGAACCTCGTCATCTGTCTTTGCCGTATATTATTATTTTGATATTGGGGAGTACGGGTCAGTCCGTTCCATTTTCTTGCAATATCAGTGGTAGTGTACAGCGGTGGCATGATAGGGGCAAGTTACGATGTTTACCTCGGGGATCAGGCAACGCGAGGCTGAACTGTTCCCGACTGATGCCCAGATAGCCGCTTGTTTATGGGACGGCTTAAACTATGTCCAGTCTAACGGACCTCATATACAATGCTATCTACAGATCCCCCCGGAACTACCTTCGGAAAAGTCGCTGCGCCGCCTCCAACAGGGACCCGAACTTAAATCGAAAGCTTACCGACGTCTTATTTTCTGTTCTCCGGCTGCATTGACGAATTATTGGCCGCCGCAACGTCCACGGGCGCTTCGGTGCTAAACAATACAACGTTGAAATTAAAAGTTTGGGTGTGAATAGTGGTAGTCCTGTCGGCTACTTATACTGCATCGGTTAATTATTATTATCATGGCTAAAATTCCCTCCGAGCCCATCACAATTGAGTAATTCCTGTTTGCGACGAAGGCTTGTCTGGCTAAGGAGTGGAAGAGGTCGGGCCATTAGGTCGTGAGTTATGCAGCAATTCTCTGCTACAGATCTTATTAGTTGCCGGTATTTAATAAGAAAATGTTGCTAACTGCGCGGGGAAGGATAACACCGCACTTTATAGCCGAAAGAGAAGAGAAAAATCTCATCTACATTATTTGCATAAACTGCACACAACTCGCGCTGTTTTTGTTGGCACAGCGTCCGGCTATGAATTTCTCTCCCATAGCAGGATCGCGCTGCAAAGCTCAGATATCGCAGTAATAATGAGAATAATCTGACCGAATTAAGAAGTTTTTCAACTCTTTCGTTCCGAGCAAACATTACTCAACATTTTCTAGCCGTTCTTTATTCAAATATGTCTCTGGTAATTGCCGATAAAAACTTTTTTTATATTAACCAATTTCGAAGGCGCCTACTGAATTTTATCGCGAATGACCAATCAATCGCCTTAATGCCCTTTACGAGCAGTTACCAACTTTTACCCCGGCTCGGGCCTAATCGGCACCCCACATGCGTTAACTAGGCGGAAAAATTACAACACTTTCTGTATTTGGAACTAAAGTGATTTCAAGGGTTGAAAATTTTAAAAACTCGGAAAATAGCGCTCCTGTTCCCAACTTCCGGTCAGATTTAATATCGGCGTCACACGCATTAGGTGAGCTGGTAAATTCCGAATACATTGTTACACAATAAATATAAACAAGGATTTATGATGTAATTTAGTTAGCAACTTGTGCAACAAATTTAAAGGGTATAGTTTGAATAATGGCGGCCATACGTTCATATATGGCATAATTTCGCGTCCTGAGGGAAGAGTACATCAAGGCGGCCACTATAAGCTTACCTTCAGTTGTTTGGCTTACGTGCTACCCTCTGGCAGTCTCTTCAATCTCGCCAAAACCGTTGCCCATCATCTCATGAATTTAGGAAATTTTTTAATAAATTTTCGTACGGCGTGTACGTGATGTGTGCGAAAGTAAAGAACTGACGGTCAACTGATTACAAAGGACTAAGACAGAGCCTTTGTATGTCCTGCCAAGTCGAGAACGTCCAAACAGACGTTTACCCATTGTCGTTGTCGTCTCTAACAGCGCTATTAATTAATTATAGCCGAAACAATCTCTGACAAAAGCACAAGTTGTCGCTCACTTAAAGCAAAAAGTTTAAATAAAGTTTTCGATTAAATTACTCACGTTAGAACGCTAATAGTTAAAATAGTTTTAAGTTTTCATATCAAATTTAAACACTCCATAAATAATTGTTATCTTTTATTGATACTACTTAATGGTCAAGAACTTGGATTTTCCCGCTTATCTCCTACACTCTTAATCATTTACATTTTTCATACACAAGTACTTCATAACTTTGGACTTCTCCCGATTCCTTCCAAGGATTTTCCACGTATTTAAAATACGCGTTTCCAATGCCAAAAGAATTGATTTTCCCTATTTGCGTCCCACCTTCGTAACTAATTCTTCCAATGTTGATACTTCCTAATCCATCTTCGTGTCCACCAATTACCCCATGTCTACCACTTAGTCTCACATGCAAATCCTTCGCCGTAGCATGAATCCATTTAAAATCGGGCTGATGGCCGCAAAGAATCTAAAGATAAAAGTGTCGCGATGATAATGGTTGTCGAGTTTTGTGCTTACTTTGATGTGTTCGTTAACGTTCTTCACTCCACAGATGGGTGCATAGAGTTCTTTTGCGTTAGGCCTTATATGGATCACCATCAAACCGAACCCTTTAACATAAGCTTGGCCAATGTAAGCTTTTTGAGAACGACCGTCTTGACCCGCTACTACTGCGTCTTGGGGTATTGCGCCCTTGTACTCGCGCCAGTAGTAATCTAGCACATTGGATTTTTTTATACTAAGTACCAACTAAGTGTGAACTTACCGAATGCGTTGTGGGACATTTTTGGTCTAGTAGTGGTTCTCGCGAAAATATGAAGGAAGACGCGGCTGTTTGACGTTTATATAGTTTAAGTGGGGAACTTTTTTATCTGGATTACAACACGGAAAATACGCAGGTTTGTTGGAGTTATTTAAGATAAACAACTTTTTGTAAGTCATTGATTTAAGTATTGTTTTTGTTTTTTTTTATGCAAGAAAAGTTTAAAAAACTGGAAAAAGAACATACTAGAAACTAATTTAAAAATTCGTTATATTAAAGGCATCATTTCTAAACTGATTCAACATCCCGATTACAATTTGCATTGTTCCCATCAATTTGTACAAAACTTGAGACCGCAAACTTGGGTTTCTAACTCTGATAAACCTCAAAACTCATCTTCTTTTGGCATTTCTACTAACTCTATACAGTTTTTCTATCTAAATGTTCTAAACATCTAGAATTCTAGGCTTTATGAACTGTAATGGTAATGAGTTATGTGATCAGTCTGAAATTGTTGACGCTTTTGGACTTCTTCGATAGTATGTTTATTGATTCGAAACCTATCGAGTACTCTCAGCTCATTTTTAACACTAATTCTAATATTTCTATTCCACCGTGTCAAACTACTGTGGAAGACGTTCTGAAAAATTTAAAAAATCCAAAGATTCTTTCACAATGAGTATTAATGGAACTCGCTCTTTCTTACTTAAAAATTGTGCGTAGATTTAATTTAATAATAAAGAAATCCGTTTTTCCTTCACTTTGGAAGAAGGGTTATAGTTGTACATAGCCATCTTTGCACAACAAGAAACTTAAAACATGGTTAAAATGGTATATTTTTGCAAAGAAATATGGATTTACAAATTTTCCATTTTAAACATGTTTTAAGTTTCATGTTGTGAGAAGAAATCTACATATATTAAAACAAAAAGGGAAAATATAAGCCCGCCCACCCGCCTTGTCTCAATTGTGATGATTTTTTTATTCGTCGTGAACCAACGGGGCTGAACTTAACTGCCAAATACTTATTTCTTTACAAGAAAGTAAAAACATGTTTTTGTTCAAAGAATACTAGTGTATTAAGAAAAAAAAGCAAAATTTATAATAATAATATACATAGTATTCTTTGAACAACACGGTACTCAAAAACATGTTTTTAATATTTCGTAGATTGCCTTAATCTGGTCCGCGTTAGTCCAAATTAGGCAACAGTTTCCTCAGGTAAATTCTTAGTTATATCGTGAAAAATTACTCCACATATCCTCATTTTAAATTCAGTTTTTTTTTTATAACTTTGTAGGCGCGTTTTTGTTAATTGCGTTTTTTTGTAAACTTTTTTTGAGTTTTTTTTGCGTTTTTTGTTCCTTTTATGGTCCATTTTGTCGTCTTTTGTTGTTGTTTTTTTGTAGAATTCTTGTTTTTTTTTTGTAGTATTGTTTTGTTCTTTCTTTTGTTGCATTTTTTTGCTACTTTCTTTGCCTTTTTGACACACTTTTATCGTTTTTATCTGGGATGTTTTTGGCTCAATTTTTGTCACTTTGGTGGTGCCTTTTTCCCGCATTTTTTTCTTATGAATTTTTTTGTCCTCCGTTTTCTCTTTTTTTGTTGCGGTTTTCTATGGACCCCTGGAACTTTTTTTGTGACTTTTTTTTGTCTCTTTTTGTAGTGATTTTTTTTTTTCGCACTTTTTGTAGTCGTTTTTTTTCGTAGATCTTTTTGCTGCATTTTTTGGTCTCTTTCAACGTTTTTTGTCGCCTTTTGTGAAGTTGTGAAATATTTGTAACGTTTCTTTTTTCTTTCTTTTGTCTTATTTTTGTGACTTTTTTGCTTTTGTCGACTCTCTTCTTTCAGTCGAATTTTTGTGTGATATTTTTGGCAACGAATTTAATAATAATAATTTTCAGCTCTGAAAGCAACGTCAGCAGGAACAGCAACTGCAACGGGAACTTCAACGTCAACAAGTTTAAAAATCCCACAAATAGGTAGATCTGGAAACTCTGATGATGCAGCTGGACATAATTCTAACCTCAAATTCACTATTTGATATTTTAAGTATTTTATTGTTGAAAGAAGACACAAAAAATAATCACTCGCCGCCATCTCAGTTTTGATCATTTTTTTTATTCGTCGTGTGAGGAGAGGCGAAGCTTAATTGAAGGTTCTCTATAAAAAATTACCAAGTGAAAAATGTTCTAAGCAGCGTGTTGTTGAAAGAAAACTAAGTATATACATTAAGAAAGAGAAGCAAAATGCTATGCCCCACCCACCCGCCCCAATCTCAATTGTGATTAACTTTTTATTCGTTATGAGACCAGGGGGCGGAGCTTAATTGCAAAGTACAAAATTCTGTACAAGAAATTACCACGTGAAAGAAACATATTTGTGATGATTACCGGATTGTTGAAAATATATTTCCTGTATAATAGAACATTCTGAGAAAAAGTAGGGAAAGAATATTTTTATTCTCTCAAAAATAAGGAAACATCCACACAAGATAAAAAAACGATAAAAATACAACGTTTAGTAATCACAACTTGACTTTTCTGTAAATATGTGGTGTAAATAGGTAGATCTGGAAACTCTGATGACGCAGATAGATATAAATCTAATCTCAAATTCACCACTTGATGTTTGAAATGTTTTATTGTTGAAAGAAGACTGTATTTCATGAAAAAAAAGTCAAAGGATAAGCCCCACCCTCTCACCGCCATCTCAACTGTGACCATTTTTTTTCTTCGTCGTCTGAGGAGAGACGGAGCTTAATTGAAGGTTTCTTTACAAGGAATTACCATGTGAAAAATATTTTAAGTAGCTTATTGTTGAACGAAAACTATATATAGTAAGAAAAAGAACCCAAATACTACGCCCCACCCACCCGCCCCAATCTCAATTGTGATGATTTTTTTATTCGTTGTGAGACCAGGGGGCGGAGCTTAATTGCAACTCAAAAAAATCAATTTTTACTTCACTTTGGAAGAACGGTTATATTTGTTATATATATAGAGGATTTCGATACTTTGCAACTTTGCTAAGATTTTCGAATCAATTTTGTATTATCACATTTACTCGTCGACGAAGCTACTGAATTCATCTTATATTTTGCATATTTTTCTTAATATACATAGCCATCTTTTCACAAGAAGAAACTTAGAAGAACATCGTTAAAATAGTACATTTTTGCAAAGGAATATGGATTTTGCAATTATGGGGCGGAGCCTAATTGCAAAATCGATATTTCCTTAGACAAATTTTCCATTTTAAACATGTTTTAAGTTTCATGTTGTGAAAAGAAATCTACATATATTAAAACAAAGATGGAAAATATAAGCCCGCCCACCCGCCCTGTCTCAATTGTGATGATTTTTTTATTCGCCGTGAACCAACGGGGCTGAGCTTAACTGCCAAATACTTATTTCTTTACAAGAAAGTAAAAACATGTTTTTGTTTAAAGAATACTAGTATATTAAAAAAAAGGCAAAATATGTAAAAATAATAATAGTATTCTTTGAACAACATGATACTCAAAAACATGTTTTTGAATTTTTGGAAATCCATTCTGTTCAAGTTTATATTTAATTTGGGACAGCTGTCCGCCTCTTGAACGTCTGGAGTGTATCATTTTAGGAAACTAAATGTTTGTAGTTATTTACGACATGTTTCGACTTTATTTAATTTCATCATCAAAGAATACAATGACAAAATTAAAATGTCCGAGATTAATACAAAATGGTGTAAATTTTTTTTCCTTCTTTTTTTTCTCCCTTTTTTTCCTTTTTTTAGTCCCCTAATGATACACTCCAGATGTTCAAGAGGCGGACAACTATCCCAAATTACATGTTTTTAATATTTCGTAGAGAAATAATGATTTTGCAGTTAAGCTCCGCCTTCTTGGCTCACGACGAATAAAAAAAATCATCACAATTGAGATAGGGTGGGTGGGCGGGACTACATTTTGCCTTTTTAACTTAAATCCTCCACTTTTCTTCTACAACCTTTTTAAATACATACATAAATGACAATTTTCAGCTCTAAAAGCAACGTCAGCAGGAACAGCAATTGCAACGGGAACTTCAACGTCAACAGGTTTATAAATCCCATTTTTAAATAAGTAGATATGGAAACTCTGATGACGCAGCTGGACATAATTCTAACCTCAAATTCACCACTTGATGTTTTAAGTATTGTATTGTTGAAAGAAGACTGTATTTCACGAAAACATAATCAAAGGATAAGCCCCACCCACTCACCGCCTTCTCAGTTTTTTTTTATTCTTCGTGTGAGGCGAGGCGGAGCTTAGTTGAAGATTTCTTTACAAGAAACTACCAAGTGCGATCTTTTTTTAGTATTACACTCATTTTGCAAAATTACACACAACAAGAATTTTGACGTAACTTCTAAATGTCATTTAAATTGTGACACATGCCTACTTGACTAATAAATCATCGAATCTGATTTTTTCAACTCGTGTAATAAGGGCAGTACAGATGCACGTTTTATGTGAAAAATGGCAATTTTACGATATAAAATTCCGTGTAGCACAAAAGTGTGACGTGATGGAAAAATTTGGAGAGCAGATTTGAAATCTACATAAAAAACTGCATTAAGTGCACACATTTTTATTAAAGGAGTATTTTGGTTGTTGACCAATGTTATGTTATCATTAGTATTACCTACACTAGTATTACTTGATGACGTCATCACAAAATTTTGTTAAGCGAAAACTCATTTGCACGCTTCTTTACATGTAGTTCAACCTTACATACATATCTTTATTTTGACTTATAAGGGTTCAATAAAATTCGCATAATCAAATTTCATCATTTTTCGAAAAAAAATGTTATTGTATTGCAGGGGCGAGGGAGGTTCTGTCCAAATAACCTTCGACCAATTTTTTAGATTTGGTTATCCAGGGTGTCTCAAAAAAATTAATGACTGAGTCAATGTATTTTATTGATTAAGTCAAGAATTGCAAAACTAAATACTTTGAAATATTGCAGACGTTTTGAAGTTGTTGTAAGCCTGGTAACTTTTTAATCAAAATGTGTCGGTTCATCAACCCTAAAAAATTGATGACAAAAAATTAGTTTTGATAATTATGACACA